TCATCGATCAAAACAAAAAATTATTCCTGTTCAAATTTCGAAGAAAAGCAACTGAAACTGGGCAAACCTTACCGAACTCACTGAGTCAATTTTGAGAAACTTTCGAATCCAATGGGGCGAAGTCACTGAACAGGATAGAATTTCCAAAAAATACAAGGTAGTCTGCAATTATGAAACCCCGTTTTTCTGGATTATTGTCTTTGTATGGCGAGTATCGTTTACTATGCCAAGCCAGACGGCGTTTAATAGCATAAGTTCACGCCCGACCGGGGATCGATCGAGATGTCTCACTATACCGACATATTAAATTGACAAACAGGCGAGCTTGAACTTGCGTATGCTTTTGTATGAAGAGTCTGTGTGCTTGCCGAGTCGATGGACATTTAAGCCCAATACCATTAGCAACTCTTATTTTCTGTTAATTCCTTTAAAACCATAGTACATAATGTCGAGTCGAAATACTATTGTTAACTATTCTTTGTTGATTCACTTCGTCAAGTTTACACTATGTACTTTTATTATTCCAAAATACGATTAATCATTTCTAGATAATCCTACATTGTCACAGCAGACAGTGTTGTGACGTGTCCAGTGAACACTGTTTGAAATAATATCTTATCGCGAGTACAAGCTATCATTTGGATTATCATACAGAAGTGACATTCAACACGTGGTCTTCGAGTTATGTGTCAATTAGAATATTGAGGAAGATTAAAAAACAATCATCTTCATAGTTTTTTCATGTCTCATTGGAACCTTATCTAATCGATATTACGCTAATTTACCGTAAATCTACTGCAATTAATTTACACACAAAGGTATCACTCTGCTACATATTACACTTATATTTAAATATTTTAATTAGTTTGGAAAACTTATTATTCCAATTACATATGGTATACCATCGTGTAGGTTTGGAGTGATCCACATTGAAAGAGTTAATCGCTTCAATAGAGACTACCACAAGAAAATTCTTTCACATAGTCTATAATTTTCAAATAACTTGTAACGTGTGTACACTCTCTATACAATTTCGTTCGTTTGTTTCGCTTTGTACGACAGTTTAAATTTTCACAAAGCGATGAAAATTAATCGATCGCTTCGATAACGCTAGATTAAGGCCCGTTCATTCGTGACACAGCCGACAGATAAGTGAATTTCGTTCCCGAAAGCTCTCCCGACTGATCTCGTCTCTCTCCCCGGGGTGCTTCTCGGTGCATCTGTTGCAGCTGCACCCGGCGGCCAGTATCTTTAGAATCCTCCCCGTTTTCTTTGTCGCTCAAGGCGCGCTTTATTCGAGAGAACGTCCTGTTTTCAGGAGAGAAAAAAAACCAAAGGAAACTACGATGGACGTCCAACGTGAAAAATCCTACCCAGATTTTTGCCCATCTTTTTCCTTTCGCTGTCCCATTTTCCAACCTCAGTCCCGTGAGACGGAAATCCCCTTTTTCTCCAACGCAAAATCATTTTCCGACAAAACGTTCCGTTTCACGCAGAAATTAATAAATTATTTTGGAAAATGTAGCTGCAGTAAATAAAAAAAGGATTTTTTTCTTTGAAAGATATATAGAACCAGAATTCGTCACAATTTTATGTAAGAGTTATATCAGGACTTTTGAAATAACCGAGGAAGAGTTTATAATTTATTTTCAAATAAAAATGAAGTTTAATGTTTTTTATTTCACTCAAGTCTGAAGTGCAAAGTCTTGTTACTATACTATGTTACATTACTACAATTTATTATCTATGTTAAACTATTTTCCTCTACATGATTTACGTTAGATGACATAAATGCACGCTACCAGGTCGTGTTTTTCTCTTCTGCGAGTATGTATTCATTTTACAGGACATGGGCTGGAACATGTTGGCACAAGCCGGGTCTAAGGTCACAATTCAACGAAAGTGGGAATTATCTCCTTCTTGTTGCCATTGTTCACAATTAGCCTTTGTTCGGTGGGCAGGACGTACGGGGTGTCTCGTAAGAAACTGTGATCTTAACTGTTCACGCCACAAGCAGCCTAAAATGGACGTTTTAATGGTATCGAAATATAGTAGAAACTACAAAGTGATTAACATAGAGGTTTATGCTACCTCAAAGCAAGTACAGAAATTTACTAAATATAGTCGACTACCAATTGGTACACCAAACACCAACCAGTCAGTTCAAACCACTTTGTTCATTGCTATTAAAACAGTTTCATTTTAACACTCCGCTGGAGAGGGGGGGGGGACAATGTTCACTATTGTGTTCAAGAAAACGAAACAAAGGCTTCGAATATCATATCACTTGAGCACGCCACTGTATCGTTTCCAGCGAGACTATCGTTACTCCAGGATGTGCCCGGAGTAACTCAATCCTGAAAACTGGCGATCATGGCCGATGAAAGTGCACTGGTATTGAGTTACGACACACTTGTTTCGCTACGAATTGTACGGTAGTTGGGTGCAATACACGTGCGGCGAGCGGCTGCATCAGCAACCATGGAATGCCTAATCTAATATGAATGTAAAACCGTTAATTTTTATCATAATTTCATACGTTTATTTCAAAATCATCTCGTGAGTCTCTTAAAATATCTTTATGGAAACCTTTTATCAGTCCAAAAGAGCGTTAACTGATTTTAAATGAAAAATTTTTAAAATAAAAGACTTTCTAATTTTACAAAACACTGTAATATATTGTTTATTACTAGAACATCTCTGTTCATTCATTATTTCGCTACATTAGTATTGTCTGTTGGTGTTTCGTGTATATTGCAACGAACACAAAGTTAATTCTCAAAAAACTAAAATGGCCGCGAAAGAAATCAAATACTACGAGGATTAAAAGAAAGATTCTGCGGTAGGAGTCCGACATTTTGCCATTTCCTCCACTCAAATTATTATTTTTATAAATTCGTCACTGTCCAGAATGAATATATTTTATTTGTAAATTGAAGATAAACTGGACATGGTGAAACATCCAGTATGGACGTGAAACGTTAATTCAAAGCAACGAGGCTCGCATGTGTTGCATGAGCAAACAGTAGGTACACAGTTCCGAGTGGCCGCTTAAACGAAACAAGCAAGCCATCACCCGACACGTGCATCTTTTAACGCGGAATTTTCCCAGGAGCAGCACCGGCAGAGTCTGTAAAACGATCTTTCCGTGCCGTTCTCGGAAAAATGAACCGAACTAGAGAAGCGCACCAGGCTTCTTGGGAAGAGTTGGAAAGCCGTTGCATCCTGTGCCCTCATTGTTCCTGTCTCGAGTAGTTTTACGAGGGCAAGCACCACCAACCATCCCCCAAAGAATCGAATATTCTTCTCGCTTGGGTCGAATTTTGCAGCGGATATTATTATATTTAATTCAATCCCAATAGTAACGTTCGCGAAAGCACTTTTGCGCGACAAATGCTGCCGGCTGCAAAAGATTCGATTGTGTGTCACAACGTAGAAGTATGATTTGGAATACGACGTTGTACTAACTGATCGTTATTGTAATGGGATATTGTTAATATATTTTTGATATTATATAATATATAGTAGTTACGCAGGTATCAAGTGGAAATAGAGATTGCAGGCTCTAATCCGCGTAAACAAATGTTGTCCATGAATTTCTTGGAGCCGAGATCTTCGCAGTATTCGCGCGTTCAGCGATAAGAGACCACGCACTTAAAAATAGCAACCCTTTGAAGTGGTTCTGTTCCATGATTTGCGCGTCATTTATAAATAATGTTGGTTGATCATATATTATCGTCTAATAATTCGAAGTGAGTTATTTTTACAAGGGAATGATTTGCCCCTAGAATACTTTACTTTTTAACATATGTATCTTATTACGTTATTTTTTACATGTTAATACAAGCGATTCGTAGTTTTTTTCAACAAGTTCTTTTATCAGTTTATTAAATGTTTTTGAGTACAGTAACATTTTTGTACGTATACGATCAGATAAGATTAAAAACTGTGTAACAAAATAAATATTTTATTCAATAATACTCTACAGTATGTTTTGTTATGAACACCGCGATGAAGACTCTTGATAAAAGGGGATTAAAAATAAGCGAATGATAATATCGATTTAAATGGCATGAAAAAAGAAATATCCAATTAAAAATACACGATGTGCACACTAATCGAACGTTCAGGTTACAACTAAACACAGCCTTTCCCCGGCATTGTTAACATAACAAAAACATTTTCTCAGATCTTTTACTACTGTCGACTATTTACATTTCAAACTGCATCGAAACATATGATGCCATACATTTTGCAATAGGTTTCATAAAAAGAAAAGATTGCTGGTCCTGATCGCAGGCTTCCCACGTCGGTATTATTATCCCGCGTATCGCAAAGAAACTTATGATAACGTGCGCAGATGGGCTGTCAACTAGTTCGTCCGCAGAAACGGATTTCCTAGTGATCAGCACTGGTATCAGCTGAAATTCACATGTCCACGGTGTGTAAATTAAATGAAAAAGAAACACAACCCTTGAGTTGGAATTTAACGGATGACAATGTAGACTGACTACTGAAGCTATTTAAAATACAATTAAAATATATGAACGGAACTAATTAAATAAACTCATGTCGCTATCGTAAACACATTGATATAAAACGTAATCGTTTTGAGACTTTCAGATCGTCTGCAGAAAGAGATTCCATTTCAAGAGATTCACACTGACAGTCTTCAAAAGCTACCCCCCGTATCCGCCTAAATTCCCAGTGATTCAAGACGTCGGATTGACGTAAACACGGGATACATTACGCATCGTATTAAACGCTCTTGTAGATTATCAACATATCGTTGCGCAACACAGAGATTTCAAAAATCGCAACAGCGTCACGATCTCTCTATCTATCGGCTCGCAAAAAAAAATATTCACCATCAAACTACATTCGTGGCCAAGATTGAACCCGTTCGAGGCTGAACAGTCGCGGCCGAGATTCGTCTTGGCAGGGAACGAATCTGTCCTCGCCTGGACACGTTCGGGAAAAACAAAACGACGAGGACTCACCGAAGTATTTATCTGGCTCCAAGCCCGAATCTTTGTCCAGTCCGCATATGACAAAATAATCCGCGAACCTCTGTGGATGTTGCTCGGGTCCGCGCATTATTCCCAGGCTCCCGTTCATCTTTTTCGTGAAGCGGATCGGTTCTGGGTCGGCCGTGCGGTCACACGAAACACCCTCACGAGAACGATATCCACATCGTGAACCTCCACGGCACTGTCATTTCACGCGAGAGCGAAACAACAGCTGATGCTGACGCGTACCGAACGCAACGCACGACTCTGCGGAGTGTGCGGGCCTCTCGGCTCTTGGCCGCGAATAATTGATCTTTACTCCGTGGAGTGAAGTTAGCCGTGAGCTGACGCGCACAACCAGCGCCGATCCGTTGGCGCGTGGGTACGAAGCCCGAAGCTGCTGTGCCGTCCAAACAATCCGTCGGTTTTTGCTTATTCGTAATGTTCCTCTTTCGTGATCAGAATTTTCTTGAATGCATATGTTTCGTCAACAATGAATGAGACGGTAACAGGATAATCATATTACCCCTATTATGTTTTCATAGCAATTTGTGTCTAGCGGCAGGCTAGAAACTGATCGCTACGACACGTATGTATGTATGTACCACCGATGGTGTACGATGTATAATACCCACTCTACAGGTTACAATTAGATAGTAGCCAGAAATATTATGATATATTTTATAATAAAGTTTGTGTTTTAAATATCAAATGGTATGAATCGAATATTGACAGTTTAGAACGTGGCATGAGCGTATTAGCAAATGACATATTGTTTTATGCAATCATAAAAAGCTCATTCTGACTAAAGATTAATATTGAAATACGAATGTTTCTGTAAATTTATGTTTTTACAAATCAATTTACAAAATTATTGCGTTGTATTTTGTATACATTGCGTATAAAATGTTGGCGAAACTGAAAGTCTATCACGCCATCTGCAAAATTATACGGTGCAGAGATGTTTGTTCACTTATGGACAGGTTAGATTCGTGTGACCAGACACGAATTTCTTAAAATACGATAACACCTTAGGAGATTTTAGAATTTTCACATTTTTACGGATGATGGAGGAGGTCGACAATATAATTATTCACTCGTTGCGTCAAATAGGCTGGTGAGTTGCATTTTACATACCTAGTTATATACATTCATTTGACATATGACGTCCGCTGCGTTTTGTTATGAGCAAAAGTGGGCGGTATTGTTTATTTGCGTCCAATGTAGCATCTGAGTAGTCGTGCTTTGTTTTCTGCGAAAACTTCGAACTTTCAACATACTGTATGAAAAACACGAACGAGGGTCTTAAACATTCGAGTGCTACTGGTATTTATTTAAATTTTACCGGCTAGTTTTGAAAAACACATAAAAAAAGTTGGATAATGATATATAAAATATATGCATATGTATATGACATACGTGCATTTATGGAAGGTATATCTATTCATGAAAAATATGTAAAATAAGATATATGATATTCATACACGTTTGTATTCAATAGCTATTATTAACAGAAGATGTTTAGATAAGTTTTATTATATTTTAGTGACATAAAAGAGAATATAACGAATCTTGGTGGTTTTACCACAGAGTTAGTGGTAGAAGCAACGATAAGATGCTTAGATATAATAAGGCCAGGTCTTGGAGTATCTACAATTTTACCTATAAATATGGCAGCCCGTTTTCGATTAGGTGCTACACTCGCTCAAGCATGTGCAGTAAGATTTAAAAAAATAATATCATTGTTTATGTAATTATGTTGTCTAAGTTTAACTAATCTCAGTTTAAAAATTTAGGATTTAGGATACAAAGGTGATATTGGTTACCAAACATTTCTGTATAGTTCAGAAGTTGATTTGCGAAGAGTGTTCATGTTTCTCATTGAAAAATTACCAAAAGAATGTGATAAGACCTTAAATGAACCAATTAGCAATGTTGCATTATTAGAGAAGTCTATAGCAGCAGCAGTATTGCAAGGCCTTTCAGTCCCATGGTTGCCACATTATTGTCATACAAAGGGATTTAGGAATAGAGGCAGAGCAAGTGTCCCTTATGTGTCTATAAGTTTAGAGGTACCGACAACAAAGAGTGAAGAAGGTAATTAGTTCATGTGGATTTAATGTTATTATACATCTAAATGTTTGACAGAAGCAGATAAAACTTTTATCATTGCAGAGTATCAAAACTATTGCATACACTATTTGCAACCTGTGCCTAAACAAGTGCAAAATCCACAATCCTTTCTACCTTCTTTGATATCCTATAATGCAAAAGCTCTTCATCCAAAACCAATGAATCTTCTTGATCGAATAAATTGGTTAAATAAAATACAGAGTGAAAAAGCTATTGATACTAATGCATCCAAGGATGCCAATGTTCTCAACAGGGTCTCAATAAAAGATACAACGTTAACTTCTAAAGTAAGCTTTTTAGAACTAATATGGATATTTGTAAAACTGGTAATTCATAAGAACAATATCATACTTTACCATTAAGATTTTTATTTTGTATATAGCAACTTCAGGCAAAGGAAGTAAATGTTGCAAAACCTGTGTTACCAAAACAGGAAACACTAAACAAAGTAAAAAAACAAAAATTAGAAGTGGAAAAAATAAAAGTAGAGTGTGAAATTCTTAGAAGTAATATGGAAGAGTTACAAGATGAAATTAAAAAATTAAGCACTAGTATAACGCAAATAACGATTAATTATCAAAACGAGGAAAAAGAATTAACAATAAACGAGGAACAGAAAAAGATTAAAGTACGAATTTATGATTTACTACAAGATGGCGAAGAGAGCATTAAGAAACTGGAAATAGCGATAGAAAGTACCACCAACAAATTAATTAGTCTAGGTAATCAGTGGGAAAAGCACAGAGTACCACTAATTCAAAAGTATAGGCAAGAAAGAGAGAAACATTCAACAAAAGCTGTAAGTACTATCTTATTAGCAAAGTGTGAAGTTCAAATCAAATACCTAAAGTTAGAATTCTGTATATATAAATATAGAGTGCAAGCCAAAAGAAACTTGATGAAATTAAGTTACTAAAAGAGAGGGAAAGGGAACTTCAAGAGGAATGTCGCAACAAAGATCAACAGTACTCACAGTTGGTGGCGGAAGTCCAAAAGCTTCCTAAAGAAGTAAATAGATCCGCGTATACTCAACGAATTTTAGAAATAATTAATAATGTTAGGAAACAAAGGGACGAAATCAATAAAGTTTTAGCTGATACACGAGAAATCCAGAAAGAGATAAACACGCTTACAGGCAGAGTGGAAAGATCGTTTACAGTTGTTGATGAATTAATATTTCGGGATGCAAGAACGAATGAGGCATCGAGAAAGGCTTACAAATTATTGGCTACACTTCATTCAGATTGTAGTGAACTTGTAAGTTTAGTCGAAGAAACAGGTGCCACTATAAGAGAAATTAGAGACTTGGAGGAACAGGTATTGTCAGTTTATAACAAAATAACTATATGTATACTTGGAGGTATACAACGATATATATAGTTAGGTAGTAAACCCAGTGGGTTTATAAGTGGAATCTTCTTTTGTGGGCCTAATACCAGCTGGTTTTCGGACTCAAGACAATCTTCAGTATTTAAAAAATGCTCAGAAGTAGCAAAAAAAAAAGTAAACTATGTAACTCAGAAAAGGGAAATATTCTTTGTAGATCACTAGACCCAAACTCTGCTGAGTTTTACTATCTCACTATATTATTATCTCCATACATGTATTAAATATCAAAACTGGACATTCGAACTAATTGTTATGAAATGTAATTTTTTCTAGATTGATTCTGAATCTACAAAAAATGTTGGAGCTAACTTAGAGAGAATAACTGCTGATCTAAAACAAATGAAACAAGAAACAGCAGTATTAACTGCACAATTACAAAGTAAATCGTCATGATTGTTATACAATTTATGGTACTACAGAACGAGTCGTTTTAATTACGACCAGGTAAAAATACAATTAATAGAAAAAAAGAACTGCTCATGAATATTAACAAAACCTGAAATCTTGTATCATTACATTGCAGAACATTCCTTGCAAACGAAAACGATTATTAATACAAAGACCAAATTCCTAGAAATGTAAAAGCTACAGAATCTAGTAAACCTACTGCCTATAACACAGTCTTCATGAGTCTGTCGAGACTTAATTGCTGAAAATGTACCTTGGTCTGAACTTATGTAATATTAAATCTGCTTGAAATTGGGCCAAGCATACAACATAAACTCATTCAATAACAATGCTCAAAAGGGAACGTTATTTGTTACAGAGCCTAATAATTTTTTAGGATAAAGTTTAATTGTACAATTATCTTTCATATTTCCGTGGAAGAGGCGGCTTTGGAGAAAGCTTCTAAGTGATTGTGTACAAAGTATGGAAGATAAATGACATGTAATATATTTTTATTGTCTCTTACCATTTTCATCCTTTGAAGTTCTGTTGAAGTACAATTTATTAAATAATTTGTAACTACAAACTTTTATTCATTCTTTATGACAACATTAGACATTCAATTGCTCGCCTTTCCAATTGTTGGTGGTACATATTCTTCTTCTTCTTCCAATTTTTTGAGTTTCGTTTCTGCATTATACATTCCAAGAACGCGATCCATTTCCGCCTTCTCTTCTGCTTGTAATTGCAATATTTTCAATTCTATTTCCTCTTCCTTATCAAAGAATGTCAAAATCATTTCCTTCTGTTGTATCTCTTTCTTTATTTTCTGTATATTTTCCAGTCTAGCTTGCACTTTTATTTTTTGTATTTGGCTCTCTAGTACTTTCTCTCTGAGCTTCTCCCACTCAATGTATTTCTAAAACATTAAAAAAATATATTTAATTTATTACCCAAAATATATATTTGTTCTTTTGTTGGTTGGTCAATGTTTTAATATACCTTTAACTGTTCAGCTATATCTGTATCAGCCTGTTTATCAATTGCAGACTTGACTTCATTTTCTAATACTTCAGTTACATTACCTGTACTGAAATTTTCACTTTTGAAGTTGCTTAGATTAGACATTATGTTCTCAATCTGACTGCTGTTTTCGGTTTCAGGAAAGTTTTCAGTATCCTTCTTTATTAAATCTAAAACTTCTTCATAAAGAACATTGTGTTTTACATTGTTCAACCATTGATCCATTAGATTTCTTATATCATCATACTTTCTATATAACATTAAACCTCTTAACTGACATGTTCTTCCTAATGTATTATTCATATGTTTACCATAAAAAGCCAATGTTTTTCCAACTAAATCACGTGGATTTGTAATATCAAAATGATCATCGAAGAAAGGATTCCTAAGATATTTTACACGTATCTTGATTTCTTCTTTGGAATCATCCACTGGGGCTGGTGGTTCTGGCCAATCATTGGGTTTATCCAAATGTTTGTAACAAGAGTATAAGCATAATGTGTTAGTGATTGGATTATCGAAGTCTTCTTGTAACATGGGTAAAACAGCAATTTTTGCAGCATTAGCATAGTCTTTTGCCTTTATATATTTGTCCATAAGTACATTGTAACAGTGATGGTCCGGAAAAATGCCATAATTAAGTCTATCATGTAAGACATATACAAGTTCTTCCGTACAATCATTATTCAACAAATATTTTATAACAGCGTGATGTGTTGACTCTAATGTATTCGATGTTTCACTGCTACACCGCAAATTGTGAAGTAAGGATAACAATTCCTTCACTTGATATTTCTCGATTATCGCGTTCGCGAACATGTCAACATCAACCGCGCTGACTTTTCCTTGCACATTTTGCTTCTGTTCTAATTCCAAGAAAAAGTTTTCGGGGTGAATTTTCTGCAGTAATGGGGCCTGAAGCCGTGCTTGCCATGCTTCGTCACACCGGTACGCTTCAGACAAAAATAATCTTCTGGGTACTACCGTGTCTTGCAATACACGGTAGCTTCTTCTTCCGCATCTCAATGTTTTTAACATTATGCGTTTTTTTATTGTCAGTGATTCATAGCTTCATACAATATTCTTTCTAAGTTTTGTTAGATATTTGATAGGTTAAAATAAGTCTTATCAAGATATATAATTACATCGAAAGTTGACATTGAAATTCTATAATCTATAGTAATATTAAATGATTTTCACTTACACGTTTTAAATCGTTTTATTTCTTTTCTAATTTATGAGTAAATTAAATAGTTTGTAATGTGTACATTCACTTAAATAGACGGGTACAACACGGTATTAACAAAGCAGCCAACTATGGAGTGTGAAATAAACTACTGTTGGTTAGGGAAGGGATAGAATGAACATTGATGAACAAATCTATATGGAATCATTTGAAAATAATAAGAAAGTGACAATAACTTGGAGATTTCCCCTAAGATAGCTCCTAATAAATAATACCAAAGCAATTATACAGATATAATAAGTAGATTTATTTTAAATATGTGGTACTGCAGACAGGATATAGAATAGAGACATAGATAACATCTTATGGGACTTCGTGTCACATGTTCTGAAATACCGATTGTGCAAAAAATTCAGAGACATTCTGCTGCCCTCTACGTTATGAGAACGGTGCATTCGGGAATTACATTCAATTCAATTCGAAGCTATCCACAAATTCTTCGTGTGTAATATAAAAATATAAACGTATTAGAAAGAAGTCTGACTTCGACCCAACTAGAGCTCAGCTAGTCAAGCTTTCTTCATGAAAAATAGTTTTGATCTATTATTTAACTGGTAATATCTGTTGTATTGTATTTCATAAATTTTGGCATCATTGTCAAATGGACAAGATATATTTATCATAGATGGCGTTAGAGAACCATTGGAGGATTGAAAACTTCGAGAAGACGAGAGCAAAATTAATACTTTCGATCTATTACGAAGTGGAATATCACATTTACGAGGATAGTGTGTGTCTCTTTGTTTCCCTTTCATGATAGTGATTCCCCCCTGAATTAATCTCGGGTGCATATAAGAAAATATATTGAAATATAATTCGGCGGTAAATATTCTATTTCGTTCAAATAGAAAGTTGAGCAAGCAGGAAAGCGACCAATCCTCGCGTTCTTCACCAATCGACGCACCAATCACAGGCCTTATACATAACCGAATCAACCAATGACAGCCAGTCAATCAGCCTAACGGTCATTCGGCTCAGGGAAGCTGGACTGATTAGACGTGTGGTGATCTCGCTCGTGGCGAAGTAAGTATTATTACTTTTTACTTTAAATTATTTATGCTATTAGTATCTACATTACCACTCTATCGTTACATTTGTTTAGTATCTATTCAATTCAATGCAAATAATCGTAAATTAACTCGGTATTGCTGGATAAAGTGAACTGGTTTCACGATTTCTGTTCCCTCCCGGTACCAATTAGTATTTACGCAGTTTTTGTTTAATTTGCAATCTTTAGCAATACTCTTTTAGTCAATAATTGTTTCGTTGTGACTCAGTCATTGTTAATTTAGTATAATTACTCGGTATTAACGTTTATTTTCTGTTCCAGAATTCCGGCTAGAAAGAACGCGCCAACGATGCCAATCCCATTAGACGCAATTTGGCGGGAAGTTGGTGAATTCTGGTGATGTATTACAACAAAATAGTTTATATTTCACTAGATATTTTTGTTTTAGTACATTTTTACTGTTTTGACCGTAAACTTGATCGCGATTTTCTGATTAACTGTGCTGAAAGCAAACAAGAATTTTTTCGAGAAATATTTCGCGTTCAAATACGCAATTGAAGCATTCAATATGGCTTCTTTTTTGACCGTTAGGAAATTTAAACTGGAATGTTCCAGAAGTTTCAATTCGAATACTCGTAGTTTATTGCATCTCGGTCGCGAAATTGTTTGAATTTTAATCATTTTTCGAGTTTATCATTATGATGTCATCGTATTTGTACTTATATACGGTTTCGGGTGTAAGTTTAATTATACATATAGAAGCTACGTAGTTTACGATGCTCATCGAAGCTCAAGTAAATATCGAAGCTTTAATACTTGCAATGATTTTCTCAATATTTATAAAATTCGGTACGCGATGTAGACAGAAATAACGGACATTCTTAAACTCTAACAAGGAATGTCTTTAATATAATACATTAATAATAAATATATCTCAGTAATGAATATAATATATTGAAACATTCGAGAATTATTTTGGAATAGTTTTTAACTATGGTACCTTTGCGTAGTTAAATTCATATTTGAATATTTATCGTTGAATGGCAGTATTTTTATGATGCAAACACTTGGTAGAATATAAAAATAAAAAGAATAAGCCGGTGCACGTGCGCCGTATTGTATTTCTTTTCCCCCCTTTTTTCCACAGTATTTGGTGGCTGCGTGCAAGGCGGTCGAGTCGAGTCAGTGTTTGTTTACATCGAAGTTTTTTCTGTTTATGCGGAGCGAACTGGCGCCGATTAGGATCTCACCGGAGATGTGTTATGGTCTTCGCGGAACTAGAGTCAGTGTTTGTTGCGTATAATCTAAAATTATTTTCAGAGTTTCGGGACACTCTTTGCTTTGTGTGTCGCGAAAGTAGAATCATTTGTTCGCCGGTTGAGATTTTCGGTCGCGATAGTTTTTTATTTTCATTTTTTTTCTACTTGAAAGTACTCGTTCGCGAAAGTAGAGTCAGTGCATCACTGAAGTGGATGTTTTGGGCGAAGCTCTACAAATAGAAATTGTAAGTATCCTAATATTTTATTACTTACACTGTTCAACTGAAACAGCTAGAGTTTTGAGAAGAGGTTATTACGTGTCCTGTTCCTTTGTTTCAGATTTATCAGATGCTGCATAAGCGACCACTACAGAGAATGTTCTTAAGCGAAGCTACACGAGTTTTCGAGATTCTTCGAGTCTTATAAGGAGCTCTTCTATCATCGGGTGAGTCGCATGCTTTTATTCCTCCAGTCCCCAATCATGTCGTAGGACGATTAGTCCGAAGCGACACGGGCGACAGGTTGTATACGTGCTTTTGGCGAGTACAGTGAACGCGGATATGCAATCGTACGATTGTGTATTCGCGAGTAGTATTTGATCTGTTATTTTTCTTAGTTAGGTTAGGGTCTTCTTGTACGCCGCGCTTATCATTAGTAATATAATTCATAAATATTTTGTATTCAAAGTATATTTATGAGTTAAATATTCAATGTTTGATATGATGCAGACGAAACCACATTGGATATTTTGCATTTTTTTTAGTGCTGCAATTTAACATGAAATCTTGACATTTCAAGATAGAGCGATCTATTATTTAAATAATTGTTATTTTTTTATTAATTGAGTATATGTCGTGGTAGTACGTTATTCATTTCACTAAAAAATGCAGTAATTTGAAGATGATGCGTATAATAATTTCATTGTAGTCATTTCAGTATATTGTATACTCATTTTCATTTATGAATATAGCATGAAATAGTTCTACATAAAGAGAATAACATAATATAGAAAATACAATAAATTCGCAATGGCCTATAAATAACGGTCAGCTGATAAAAAAAATAATATTCATATCATTAATGTGTGCAAATAA